TTCCGGGATGAGGAGCTGTGGGGGTGCGCCCCGGCGGTGGGCCCACAGCAGCTCGGAGCCCTCGCCCTCGCCCTCGCCGCCAGGCAGGCTTCGCCCTGCATTTGGGGAAGGAGCCCTGAGGCCTCCAGACCCTGCACCCTGTCCCTAGGTTCCCCTCCCTGCGATACGGGAGTGGGATTCAACCCCGATGTGTCCGCCTTGAAGCAAATCACTGCGCTTAGCTGTCCAGGGAGGAAAATGAGGCGGGAACCGGTGGCAGCCAGCGAACCAGCGATGGGAGCCACGGGGATAAGCAGTCCCAGTGAGGCCACCCCTGTGGCTCAGGGGTTGAGGGTCCAGCTCTGGACCAGGAGGTCTCCGTTCGATTCCAGGTAGGGCACAGGCCGGGGTTTCGGGCTTGATCCCCAGTAGGGACGTGCAGGAGGCAGCCCATCCATGATTCTCTCTCATCGTTGATGTTTCTTTCCCTCTCTCCCTCTCCCTTCCTCTCTGACATCAATATAATCTATAATAATAAAAGCGTAATATGCAAATCGACCGAACATGGAACCACAGTCCAGATGTCCTTCCGGATGACCTTCTGGATGAAGCCTGGGCTGCAAGGGAAGCCCGGGTCCCAGGTGCCTGAGGGAAGCCGGTGCCGGCAGCAGCGGGAAGGAAGGCCAACTCTTGCATGAATTTCGTGCATCGGGCCTCTAGTAAATTTATAAGACGTATCGGTAAAAACAGAGATGGCCGCGAAAGAAGAGAGAGAACCGGCAGCCTGGGGACACGGGCAGAGGGCGGCTTCGGCCTCCCTGTGGAGACAGAGCTCAAAGGCAAAACGTTGGCAGCGGAAGGACAGACAAAGGGAACCACCTGTCAGCGAGGACAGCCAGAGCCAACAGGGCGCTGCGTCTCCGGGTAGCGGGTAGCGTTGCCAGGTAACACAGGACAGACACCTCGCTACGTTGAAATGTCGGATACACAGGGCATAAGTGTTTAGTCTCTACAACATTGGGGATATACTTACACTAAAAAAAAATCCATTGTTGATCAAAAGTTCAGATTGGACTCGGTAGCCTGTGTTTTTATCTGCGAAACCTGGCAGCCCCGTTGGAGGCATGAACGCATCAAGCATTGCGCAACCACAGGTCTCCAACGGTGCAGAGACGTGGAGACCGAATCAGAGGGCGCTGGCGCAGCTGGCACTGAGCATGGCGCGCACTAAGTCACAGTCCCCGCTCCGTGGCTGGCAGTTTAGGGACTTGAATGGGTTAAGAGTAAGAATCAAAAAAAGAAAGAAAAGACTACAAATAAGCCCTGGCCAGTTTTGCTCAGTGGTTAGAGCGTTGGCCTGCGGACCAAAGGGTCGCAGGTTTGATTCTGGTTAAATGCACGCACAGTGGTCCATGGTCGCAGACTCCTCCTTGGCCGGGGCCCTGGTCAGGGCGCGTGCAGGAGGCAGCCAATCGATGTGTTTCTCTCACATCAATGATTCTGTCTTTCCCTCTCCCACGCTCCCTAATAATCAATGGAAAAATATCCTCGGGTGAGGACTAACGACAACAACAACAAAGGAAAGGACAACAGAGAGTGGGGACTACAGTGATGTTTTTTAAGATGTCTGTTCAAAACAGCGAAAACACACACACACACAAAAGTCAGTGTTTAGAGAATTAACCTCCGGTTTCCGGGTGTCCCTTATTCTTGGTTCCTGCCCAGTTATGTTCCTCAAACTGTCGACTTGAAATCCCAGCTCACGAAGGAGAAAAACCAGTTGGTTCCTTCAAGCTGCCAAGTGGGCTGCCTCTGGCGAGGTGTCAGATATTCAGGGCAAACAAGGACTAACTCCTCGTCCATCAGGCGGCTCTGGGCGGACTCACTGAGGTCCCCTCCTCATGGTGCCGACAGCAGCCATGGGACCCTTTCGCTTGGAGAACACCCACCTGACCAGCATGAAGTGAACTTGCTTTTCGTTTCGTCCATTAGCCAGGAGGGGCTTCTGGGAGGTTTTCCTGTCCACCGACCTGCTGGGTCTAGAGTCGGGGTGTCTCCCGGGAGGGAGGCGTCTGCTCTCGCTACACCTTCAGGACCTGGGGTCACTCTGCAGGCTTGCTCCCTGGAGGGCGGGGCTTGCAGATTCTGCCCAAAGCTACCAGGATGACCTGATGCTCTGTGTCCCTGCTTGGTGAGGGACCAACTTGGGGGGGACCACCTTGGTGGGGGACAAGCTTGGGGGGGACCAGCTTGGTGGGGGACCAGCTTGGGGGGGACCACCTTGGGGGGACCAGCTTGGTGGGGGACCACCTTGGGGGGACCAGCTTGGTGGTTTGGGGCAAAGAACTGGCTTCGTCTCAGAGTCCAGGTGAATTGCAAATGGAAGTGTTGGGGGTTCCCCTTTACCTGGTCTACTCACCTGGCAGAGCCACCAGACACCCCTGCGGGCGACTAGGAGAGTGGGGAGGAGCAGGGGCTGTGCTGGGCAGCTGCTCAGGGCCTTAGGGCTGGGAAGGGGTGGGGGCTGCAATTCTAGGGACATGGGTCTCGATTCACCCATCAGGAGAACGTTTTTTAAAAAATGTATTTTTATGGATTTCAGAGAGGAAGGGAGAGGGAGAGAGAGAAACATCAGCGATGAGAGAGAATCATGGATCGGCAGCCTCCTACATGTCCCTACTGGGGATCGAGCCCCAAGCCCGGGCATGTGCCCTGACTGGGAATCGAACTGTGACCTCCTGGGTCATAGGCTGACACAACCACTAAGCCATGCCGGCCGGCCTAGCGTACATTTGATTATACACCCATGTGCAGTTGGATTATGCTGCAAACCAACTACTTCCTGCTGTCTGCCTTCAGGGCACATGGTAGGCTGCATTTCCTGGCTCTCTGGGTTGAGTGGGGCCACGTGACTAGTTCTGGCCAATCAGTTGTGAGAGGAGTATGTGGGACACTCAGGGCCACAGCATCCAATTGTCAATTTGTGACCTTCTGCACCTCTCCCTCTGCTTCTGAGCCTGGCGTGCAACGGTCCTGCCTGCTCTCCCCCCCTGTATCCTGGAGGGTGGGTGCAGAGCGGGGCCCCAGCAATGGGCACGCGGCATAAACAAGACCTCAATCTGCATATTGTACGTCATTAACAAAGAGGAACCATAATTTGGAGAAACTACTGATTAAAATTGTACAGCGCTGCTCACGGAATGTAGGAGACAGTGAACTGATGTTCCCTGGAACATTACAGAATATTCTGGGCCATGAGGAGCTGGCCTTGGTTCCTGAAGACCGAGACCAGTGTCTCTGCCCTGAACGGGTTTTGGGAAATCCCAGGGGAGCGCAGAGTCGCCAGCAGGTCTATTTATACATTGAACGTTTATTTTGCTCCTGACGTCAACAGTAAATAAATTACCGAACAGCCTAAACCAGCCGTGGGCAAACTATGGCCCGCGGCCGGCCCGTTTGAAATGAATAAAACTAAAAAAAAAAAAAAAAGACCGTACCCTTTTATGTAATGATGTTTACTTTGAATTTATATTAGTTCACACAAACACTCCATCCATGCTTTTGTTCCGGCCCTCCGGTCCAGTTTAAGAACCCATTGTGGCCCTCGAGTCAGAAGTTTGCCCACCCCTGGCCTAAACTCTTCCTTCTCTCTGTGCCCCTACACATCCTGCAAAAAGACCAGGCCCCTAATACCAAGCCCGAACCGCGTGGCAGGCGTCGGCGTCCGCAGGTCGGCTCAGGGGTAAAGGAAGGAAGGAAAGCAAGTGCAGACCTGGAGGAAAGATTTTTATTTGCTTGGCACACAGACACAGAAAGACGCTTGCCTACCAGGCAGGACAGCTGAGGACACATCAGAAATGCTTCTGCTGAATTAAAGACAACGACAGGATTTCTATCTCTATTTTTATTATATGGAGATTCTTCTCCAGGCTACACTCGTCAATGGCAGGCGAGGGTTCATAGGCAACCAGGAGCTACTACGACCTATCAACACACTGACACACAGACTAAGAATAGTTAGAAAATTAATATAGCATTTTCCCCTTAAAGTTCTCAGCAGTATGCCCACCGTTTTTGCATTTTAAAAATGTAAACCATCTCATTGTAAGAAACGGAAACGGAAGAATTTTATAAAACTGCTTTTAGGAAATACCTAATGCTTTGTGGCTTTTCCCTATATCCTATGCATCATTAGCATAAGTAAGTGATATTAAATATACTGTTGGTATTAATGATAAAGCACATACTAATGTATCCGTGAAAAAATAAAAGCACGTCTGACCCTCTGTGCCCCATTTCTGAACACATATTATTCGCTGAACACATATTATTCAGAACTCATCATTCGCTGAACAGTTGTTGAAAGCAGTGGGAAGGTGCCAGAAATACTACAGTCAATGGCAAGACCATTCATCAAACCACAGCCTATTCCATCTGTACTGTGACGGAAGAAAACGGATCCCAGCCTCTCATTTCATTTCACTCATGTACAAACAGAAGATGGCATGATTTCTCTTTTCTCAAACTCCAAGTCTCACACTCGTTATTCGTAAGCCTTCGAAGAACACTTACTGAAATCGAAAGAAAAACACTCCCTTGGTCATGATGACTGTCTCTCTGACTCAAATCAAAAGCTACTTATGTACATTTAAAAAAATCAATGCTTTCACAGGCTTGACCTAAGTGTGCGTCCATGTTGCATGAGTGAGACTTTCCATGTGACCTGAGCCGGTGCATGTAAAGCACTTGCACTGCATCCCTGCTCCCACCTACCAGGGACTGCACATGTAACGAGCCCCCGAGTCAGCTACAAGTCGTAGAGCGTTTCGAGAACAGTGGCGATGGACCAGGCTTGCGTCTCGCAGCTGAAGGGGCAGTGCTGGCCGTTCTCGTTGGTCAGCTCCGGGAGCCCTTTCCAAGGGGACCTTGAAGAGAGAAAAGCCGTTTCATGAGACGTAATCTAACACGGATCCCGTGGGGTTAACAAAACAGGCAAGAGACCTGGGGATTCTGCCTTCCTGTATAGAAAACATGCTCGCAGGGTCTTTCCTACGAAGCAGGACATCCTAAAGCGTGTGTATGAGGAGTCTGGATGGACATCCTTCTTTCTATTCACTCTTTGGGGTTGAAGACTTTCAGATACAAAGGAATCCCTTTAGGTATTATACACACAGGAGAAACTACCATTCCGAGCAATATGTAGAAAAGGAGACCAATATCCCTCTGGCCTAACTTCATTCCTTTCGGAGTAAGTTTATGAGACTCAAATTAGATGTATTAAGTTTGATCTTGAGGAAACTGTAAAATTAAGGTGAAACAACGAGGAAACATACAATTATGATTTGGTGAAAGATGGTGACTAAAAACAACATGAACTTCCATACTAATTTCTCATTCTGCTGAATACAGTTGGTATTTATTGTGCATTTATTATGCTCTTATACTAAGTGCTTTAGACATATGGTCTCATTTCAATGCTTCTAGAAGCCCCATTAGGTAGGTACCATATAGTGATTCCTGTTTATAGAAGTTTATGGAGGTTGATGATGCGCCGAGCTTGCTATCAGAATACAGTGTTATTAGCATATCAAGTGTATTCTTCATTTTAATGCAAGCTCTCCAATACAGAACATAAATTTAAAATTACAGATTCTATGATGTTTCATTTCTTCAGTCGGGGTCTGGGAGCATGTTTGTTTCGTTATTGTGCCTTGTAGCTTGTGGCTATGTTACATATGCTTTTCTGTAGCTATCCAATAGTTCATGATAAAAATAGAAAAATAACTCCACTGGGCAGATGTGGAGATACTCTGAATAATAACTAACAGCACCAGCTAGTGAAAAACTGCCACAGAGAAATGGGAACTGCAGACAATGTTTGTTTCCAAGTGTTCAGGCGACGTCAGAGGGACGCGCAGAGCAGCGGGGCCGGGTGTCTGTGAGGGGGACGCTGTCCCTTCCGAGTCCCCGTGCGGAAGGCCTCGCCCAGGACCTCGAAGCGGAGGAGGTCAGTGAAGGTGCAGCAGGGCGGCCCTGATCCATCTGATCGGTGTTCTTATAGCACGGGGACACTCGGGCAAGGCGGCGCTCCGGGAGCTGGAGAGAGGGCTGGAGGAGACCCTCCCCGGCGCCTTTGAGGGGCACGGGCCACCCACGCCTGCACGTCAGGCTCCCGAGAACAGCAGCCTAGCAGTGAATTCTGCTCTTCTGCTAAGAAAACCCAACGGAGAGACCTAGAGAACGTGCGCCCTTGCCGGGAGGCGTTGCAACAGTGCCGTCCTGTGGACGCTCTGAGAACAGCGCCCTGGTAAGGGATGCGCGGGAGACCATCCATTTCTGTCCCTGGAACCACTCAGTTGTGCTGCTTTGCCAGGGCAGCCCCAGCGCTGAGGGCAACACAAAAGCCAGCCGGCAGGTGCGAAGATCACGTGCAGGGTAACCCTCGGAGCAAGGTCATGGGACAGGTGGGGGGACCGGACCACAGGTGGAAGGAGAAAAACGACCGGGCGGGCGAGCGTGCTGACTTCCCTGGGCAGAGGGAAGAAAGCGGACTCAGTGCAGACCATGAGCAATGCTGGGGGCGGTGCTGGGACGTGGGGTGCTCCCGTCACACACACTCACGCTGATGGGAGAGAAGCGTGCAGGGGTGCCCGTGGCTGCACTGAAGCGAAGGGAACAGACACACCCATTCCTGTGACACACGGAGGTCCCTCAGCTCTCATGGCAAAGGGGATACAGTTCATGCTGTTTATGCACAATTATTAGCAATAAGATGTACATATTCAGGTTTAACCTAGACTTTGGGACAGAAGAGCTTTTGCCTGAATTTCCTCACTGTATAAGGACATAGAACTCTGAAAGTTACTTATCTGCTAACAGGACAAAGGGTGCGACAAATGGGTTTGAAACAAGAGCCCAAAGGCCAACTCTGATACTTCAATGACAAGGAGAGCTTTTCTGAAAATTATTTATCGATATATCTTTAAATCTGTTCACTCAAAAGGCCCATTTTTTTGTATTTATCCTGTGCTAACCTGATCCAAAAAGACAGAGCAGCTGAAGTTAAAGTGAAAGACTATTTCACATGCACAAATCATGCAATAAAGTCTTAGGAGTAAAATAAACAACCCAGCATGATGAAGGGAAGGTAGGATTACCTCACAGACCTTGTCGTGTTGAAGAGTAAAGCTTCCCCGTTTTGTTGGGATTAACTGGAGTGAACAGCAGTGAATTCTAAGGAAATGTCGCTTCCTACCCGACTCAATACTGGTTATGGACATGACACGCCTCTCACGACTTACCTCTCAAGATGAACATAATGCCGAGAAAGGACATTTTTAACCAGATATATCGTCTTGGCGTTGGTCTCTGGCCCCATCAGTTTGGAAAAATACAATTTTGCACGAAGGAAATACCCAACGGGCCACAGCCATTCCTGGAAAAGAAGATTCCATGAGTGAAGGCACGAGCGAGCTGTGAGCAGCTGACATTATGTGAGGAAAACCTGAAAACTCGGAAAAGAGAAATGGAATTCTTACAGGTCCTTGGTGGTAATTGAAACCTTTCGCCAGGTTGTAGTTGTCGTTGTCCAGGGCGTTGTCATAAACCCCACAGTACACCATGTCACTGGAACAGAAATGACAAGTAGGTGAGAAGAGACCAGATGCAAAGCAGGAAGCATCGGAAAAAAGGTTCCACAGCAGAGGTAAGACAATCATGTTATTCTGTCTCCCACTCATCGCCCATGGAACCTTAAATGAGTAAACCCAGAGTTCAGAGCAATTTAATGGTGCATTCGGGAGTGACTAACCAATACTGGCTAACGCAAAAGACTACCAACCATCCAGCTAGCTTGCCTTCAAGGAGTTACCCTGACACTAACATCGGTTACAGTACATTATTTCACCAGGCCTCTCATATGCCTATGACAACTAAAATACACGCAGAATAATGCGAATTAGTGGTTACTAAAGATACAGTTTTATTAACTATGAAATATTGGGAAGGTTGTGTTTTAAAGTTCTCCGTGAAATTATGTTAAAATTAACTCCAACAGGGACATTATGAGATTATAAGTAGCAACTGAATACACAGGGAATTCATACACACTTATAAACCAAAGTATGACAGACTGATTGTGACAGATAACACAGGACAGCTCCCTCTGCTCTGTTTAGTTAAATGATTCCTTGTTTTCTTTGCGGGAGGGAGACAGGACTTGCCACATGAGTTGCACCAACTGTGGGTGTGACTTTGGCCAGTGGCTCCTGTCACCTCGGAAAATGTGGAGAGCGCTCAGAGGCAGGGAAGCACAGACACACACGACGTTCAAGGCTGGAGTGAGTGCGCGTAAATGGGAAAAATGGACAAAGAACAGGGCACCGGGGATCTGGCACTCACACATGGACACAGAAAGCGAATTGATGGTGGGCATCCAACCTGAAGGGAAAACAGGAGACAGATAGGGCATTGGAAACTCAAGAAAAGGTAAAAGCTGGGAAAGAGGAGGAATGTAAAATGGCACAGACTTATCATCAGGACATAAAGACAAAATGGTGTATTGGCTTCAAGAGAAATAGGGGTGCGACAGCGCAGAAAGGAGAGGGGTGACACTTGGAGAGGGAGGATGCTCCGAGGAGATGCTGTGTCTGTACTTCCGTGTCTACAAAGTCACCGTCACATTAGCAGGTACTCATGACGTTAGTGCTATGAACTTAACAACTCCTTTACCGACGGCCGAATGCAGGACAGCCAAAGGCATTCCGAACACCATGGTTTATGAAGATGCAGAAGATGTGTTTAAAACGGAGTGTGAATGCAGCGTCAGAGATTTCTGCTGACAAAACAGTCATGTCGATGCACGACGACGCCGACGGCCTTCCTACTACCGACACGCCGCCTGGGTCTGCCTCCAGGTTTTCACGCCGCGATGACAAGAACCCCACGCTCACTAGAGCCCGAGCCACATTCTTAAAGCTCCTCCTGGACTTACTCTGGGTCCAAGGTCCTCATGCCCAGGGGCCCGAGCAGCTTTTCCTCGGCCATCGCCAGGGCTTTCCACGCCTTCTCCGCCGTGAACAGCTCGGGGGCCTACGGGGCGTCAGACACAAACACACAGGAGGTCACGAGGAATGATTTCCACTCCCAGGGGAACGTAAACCCAAACTCGCTACACACTCGGAAAAGCCCCTTTAGAACCCAGTGTGGCCGGAATCTGAGCGCCAACGCCAAACCGGAGCCAATGCAATGGGCTGACCGGAAGCCCCAGTCTTGGCCTTAGAAACGAGGAGGCTGCTAGGGGGTTACCTCCTGGGTCAGTCCCCACAGGGCACCAGCCCGGAAGGAAGCTGCCGCGGCTGCCACAGCACAGGCCACGCGGACCTGTCCAGTTCGCCCTCCAGGAGGCTCCCGTGGCCTCCCTGAAGTTCACCTGGTCGCCACTGCTTGCTTCTGGGGCCAGAATAAAACACAGACGGACTTGCCTCCAATAGCATGTGACATGGAGGAGGAGAGAGCATCGGTGACTAAGAGTCCGCATTAAGTTTTTAAAGAAATATTTTTGTTGATTTCAGAGAGGAAGGGAGAGAGAGAGAGGTAGAAACATCCATGATGAGAGAGAATCATGGATCGCGGCCTCCTGCACGCCCCCTACTGGGGATCGAGCCCCCAACCTGGGCACGTGTCCTGACCAGGTGAGGGAGGGGCGGGTGCGGGTGCGGGAGGTGCGGGTGCCCTCAGCTGTCAAGGCAGCCGGGCGGGGCCGTGGCCAAGCTGGATCTGGCCGCACTACCTGATCCAGCTGCCCACTGTGCCCTACGAATAGCCTCCTCTTATGTGTGCTCCGATGTGATGACTTCACTCGTCATCATCCATCGTTTTCTATGTTTCCGTACTGAATGTGATTGGCTAAGGGTGACAGGCATACTGCTTCATTAATGAGAAAAGATTATTTAAATCAGATACTAAGCATGTACTTCTTATCAATCCAATGAGAACAGCTGGGAATGAGGAACTAAATCAACCCTCGCACAACGTTTCTGAAATGTGAAGACCAGAAACACGCCGCTCACCACAACCATGGCGATGGTGAAGTTGGGCCTGAGCTGGTAGTCGCACCATGGGCTGGACGCGCCGTAGCTGTCCTTGTAGATGCCACGCTTGTGGACCAGGTCCGGGTTCTTCTCGTTCGGGTCGGACGGGTCTTCGGACACGTAGAACAGCTTCTCGAAGTTGTCCTGTATTTTCCTGTCCCACTCCTCATAGGACACCTTCACGGCCTTTCCTGAAACATTGCACAAGGCGTGGTGGTTGGGCCCACTCAGGGGAACCCACGCATTTGGTGGGCAATTTACGATGATGTACGTGGCTCACGCTCGCGCTCTATTGGACAGAACAGGCCTAGGAAAAGGGGTGTAAAGGTTTCCTGATTGGAAAGCCACACCTCGCCCGCAGTCCCGCTGGGGAACAGAAAAGCCGCAGGAGGCTTAGTAACCACGACGCCTCTCACATCTCAGTTCAGAGCTGCTGTAGAGCCTGGTAACAGGTCTGTTAGTAAGGGAATGGCTTTCTTCCCTCCCATGACAAGCTCATGAGTCAGGTGATGGTCGGGGAGGGTAAGAACGCAGACCGTGCCCCGGAGTTTTTCTCCCAATATGACGGGCGGCTCACCGTGTCTTTTCACTGTGACTTCGCGGTAAGGGAAGATGTTTTTCCGGGACAGTTCCAGCAGCCACCGCACGGCGGACTTACTCAGGCCCACGATCTCCACGGCGGACCCGTCTCTACAATGAAAGACACGTTTTATTCTCTGAGTCGGAGCCGGGCAAGCACTACCTACAGGGCATGCGACCAGCGACTGCGATGAGCTGTCTAACCGCCATGTCATAAGAACCACCATCTATAAAGACACTCGCATTTCACGGGACTGTGGATGAGGGATCTCACTTCCTACTACTTGCCATCGCTTACCTTCTTATCATATTTTTAAAAAATGCTTTGGAGCAGAATGGAGATTACGGATGAGAGGAGAAGGCGGCTGGCAAGGGGGTGGCGTGAGGACTCAGAGTTACTGAACTGGAGTCCCAGGGAAAAGACAGCAAACATGGTGTGGGGCTGGATGGCGGAAGCGGGGACGAACATCATCGTTTGAGAGCTCGCTTTGAAGGAAAACGAAAGGGAAGCCCAAGAGCTCATAATATACCCACACAAACAGGTTTGTAAGAGAATTTGCAGCCCTAGCTGGTGTGGCTCAGTGGATAGAGCCTTGACCTGCGGAATGAAGGGTTCCGGGTTTGATTCCGGTCGGGGCACATGCCTGAGTTGCTGGCTCCATCCCCAGTGGGGGGCGTGCAGGAGGCAGCCGATCCATGATTCTCTCTCATCGATGTTTCTATCTCTCTCCTCCTCTCCCTGCCTCTCTGAAATCAATAAAAATGTATTTAAAAAGAAAAGAAAAAAAAAAAAAGAAAGAGAAAAAGCAAGGGTGTAACTCTACAAGCGCCGCAGAGAAGCCGTGCCTGGGAGTGGCTGGGATGCCTCGGTTCCTCGCTCGGTCGCTCTCCCCCATCTTATCCATCCACGTGCCGCAGTTAAAGCGATTTCCTCCATAAACAAATCCCGTCTCCTCGTCGACCCCTGCGGTGATATTGAAACCTAGGAGAGCCAAAGGGAACATTTGTACCAGGGGAAAGGCATGTCACCAGCAGGGACACGACGGCGGTGAGCTGGGAGACCCGCCACGTGGAAATCGCTTTCCTCCAAGGTGTGCTCGCTCCAGACACTCTCTCCGGGGAGCCCGCGCGCGCGTGGGACAGAGCCAGGGATGCCATTGCAGCCCTGCTGGTGAGCAAGAATCTAAGTCCCTGCCGGGCAGAGGGACGGACAGCCCTGGGCTTCGTTCAAGTGGAGAGCTGCGGCACTGACAGGAACGGCTGGATTTACAGGATCAGAACGGGCCAAGCCGCAGAGCACATTTTTTGAGTGAACAAGTTGCAAAAGGAAATGTGTCAGATGCCTTTTCTGCAAACGTTTCAATTATGGACAATAGCAATATATTCAACCACGTATGTGTATGTGGCTAAGTCGTATGTGATTATATAAGATAAAATTTAAAACCATATCATTTATAGTGTGTGTGTGTGTATATATATGGTGTAAAATTTGTATGTTACCACTACAAACACTAAGTTAACTAAATAGGGTTAATTACTGTTTAAAATCTAACTTATGAGTTAGTGAGTTATCTGAATACCTGTAGTGGATCACTTAAAAAGCTTATCATTTTATATGAAAAGCAATAGTGTTATAAGAAAGAGAGCCCTGGCCGGTGTGGCTCAGTTGGTTGGACATCGTCCTGTGCACCGAAGGGTTGCCAGTTTGAGTCCCGGTCAGGGCACATGCCCAGGTGGTGGGCTCGGTCCCTAGCAGGGGGCGTGCAGGAGGCAGCGGATTGATGTTTCGCTCAGACATGGATGTTTCTCTCTCTCCCTTTACCTTCCTCTCTCCCTAAAAATGAATAAAAAGATCTTTCACAAAATGAAAAGAAAAAAGTCCGTAGTCCTATTTGTAACAGACTATTGCTCTCCGGTCATCCTAGCAATAAAAACGGGATCATATAACTCATCCCAGTGTTCGCGGGAGTGTAAAATGGGACTGACTCTGGCAGCGTGGGCAGCACACAGGGAGCACTCGATTATTAGCGACTATTATTATGATCGTAAATGCAACCACCAACCACCTTTCACACCGGCGGACAAAAGGTGTGCACGTTCAGATCTTTCCCCGAGAAGCTACAGCTAAGCCGTGAGGGCAGGCACGGTGTCCGCCTCCCCCACAGCTGTGTTCTGAGGCGCTGCACACGAATAGACCACTTGTCGCGGCGTCAGTGGCCGACGTCCGGTTTCGCTCCCCTCGCTGGGCCCTACGCCGGGCGGGGCGTACCTTCGTCCTTCATGTTGCGGTCTATCTGGGGCCCGGCGTTCCTCTCCCGGAACTGGATGCCCTGCAGGTGCCTCTGCAGAGCCTCCTGGATCACCTCGAACAGCGGCTGGTCCTGTGGGGACACAGGCGACGCCGCCGGTTACACGTGCCCTTTTCTTATCTCCCCTCCGCCCCCGAGCCCTTCAACTCCAGTCTTGTGAACACATCTACGTTCCTTTGGGGGGAGAAATGGGGATGAGGGGTGGGGCTGGGGAGAGAGGCAGCTCCGCACGCCGAATAATACAGTCGACCTTTGGCATGTGAATATTTAACACTAGTGCCCGGGTGCATGGATTCGTGCACATCGAAAAGAAATTAATTAGGTGGCCAGTGGGGTGGGACTGGCCGGACACACCCTGGAGCCAACCTCCCGTGTTCCCTCCCCGGCCGGCAGCACCACGGCTCGAAGGGTGTCTCTGGAGTGAGCGGGGGTCCCTCCACCTGGCCTGCGGGGATCGGGCCGAAACCAGCAGTCCGACATCCCCCGAGGGGTCCCGGATTGTGAGAGGGTGGTTCTCGGGTGACGCATCCTGGAATCGGGCTCCCTCCTCTCTGGTTCCGGGTGCATCACCCGAGAACTGCTGCTGCCAAGTCACTGCAGCTCGGCAGCTCCTGTGTTGAGCATCTGCCCCCTGATGGTCAGTGCGCGTCATAGCTACCGGTCGGACGGTTTTATATATATAGATACTGTCATTCGACTCCTGAAGTCTGGGCCATGGACTCACTGACACTCTGGCTGACACATGGAAAGGAATCCTGGGAGCTTGTGTGGTTTCCACTAGAGCGAACTGTTCAGAGAGTAAGTGAGCTAGCTGACTGTACAGAAAGGGAAACTCCGCCCGGCCGGCGTGGCTCAGTGGTTGAGTGCTGACCCTGGAACCGAGAGGTCGCTGGTTCAATTCCCGGTCAGGGCACATGCCCAGGGTTGTGGGCTCGATCCCCAGTGGGGGGGTGTGCAGGAGGCAGCCAATAGAGGAAGTTCCTATCTCTCTATCACTCTCCCATCCCCTCTCTCTAAAAATCAATTTAAAAACATATTAAAAAAAAAAAGACAGATAAACTCTGAACTCCCGGGACTGGTAGGCAAGACCTTCCCAGCCTGGCTCTCCTGTCCACAGGCTCTCACGACCCTCAGGGGCCCCACAAAACACCACACAGGTCTGCGTGGAACACCCTGTCCGGGCTTCGCTCCACGGAGCTCCGTGACAGCATTCTTTGAGCTCTTCCCACCACGTCCGCATCCCTGCTGAAGTCCCACCCACCTGGGCAGGCTCAGCGTCTCCCCTGACGCCCACCCACTCGGGCGTCTCTGCCCCTGCACCTCCCAGGCCCCACTTCGGGCAGCAGGTCTCAGCGCCGCCCTCCCTCCCTCCCTCCCGGCCGGCCGGTGCCAGGTAACCAGCGCCATCTGAAGGATCCCCAACGGCGTCTGATTTTGTATGAGAAGCCGAGTCATTTTTCGGGAAAAGAAGTGACGGCGGGAGACGGTCTTTACCACTGTGCCAGCCGGCAAAGGCGCGGAGTCGTCCGTGGGGTAGAGCCGGGCCACGGGGCAGCGGAGGAGGTCCAGGCCGCCGGGCACCAGGCGGCAGTAGTCCTGCACGCACTGCAGCCACCACCACACGGCGTCCCGGCAGTTGTACCTGGCGCACGTGCCTTCGCCCAGCAGGTTGGGGATGAGTCCGTGCCGCAGGGTGCCGGCGAAGGCCAGGATGATGTTCCTGCAACAGCAGAGGCACGCGGCTCACTGGACAGGGACACAAACCACCACGGGAGGAACCCGAGACAAGAACGTCCCTCGGGGTGACGGGCACTGGGGTGCGCCTTCTCTCCTGCCCTAGTGCTTGGTGTTTTCACGGAGGAAGTGGTCGTGGCAGACAAGGAGCACTGGGTTAGAGGTCAGAAGCCCGCCCGCAGCCCTGGCCTTGTCGCTGACCATCGGTGTGGCTGACCCGCCCTGGGACAGGCTCTCACCTGTAGAGTCAGGGATGCGGCTGGGAGATGTTCGAGCTATAGAGTCTCCTTTTGAAATCCCTGGTATTTCAAACATAACATGCTCTCTATTATTTAAAAAATATGTGTGTATTGATTTCAGAGAGGAAGGGAGAGGGAGAGAGAGATAGAAACAGTAATGATGAGAGAGAATCATTGACCGGCTGCCTCCTGCACGCCCCACACTGGGGATCAAGCTGGCCACCTGGGCATGTGCCCTGACCGGGAATCGAACCAGTGACTTCCTGGTTCCGATGCTCAACCACTGAGCCACGCTGGCCAGGCTGTACTCTATTCTTTTAAAGAGCTGATATGAAGAGCAAAGCAAACATGTAAGAAAATAAATGGGTAAAAGCTGACCTTAAAGAACATGATTAATTTTCAAAAACTGGGAAGAGATACTTTAACTTTATTTATTTATTTTTATTTATTTATTTATTTTTTTAACCTTGAAGACCATGATTAATTTTCAAAAACCGGGAAGAGATACTTTATCTTTAAAGTGGCAGGCGGGTGGCGTGGCATTCTAAAAAGAGCAGGAAACTAAGAAATAAGGAGGCAGGTTTCAATTCTAGTGTTACCCCGGGTATGCCTTGGAAAGTCATTTACCACGTCTAGGTCTCAGGGCGTTTTGGCTAAGCCACTTAGAAATGTAAAATTCTGTATCTCAATTTAATACCCATCTCTTATATCACAGCACAATAGGAAACTTCGTATTTTCCACAGTGAAAAGGTGTTAGTGTGGACAGTGACGCTTCCGAAGCATAAGAGCTGAGCCCGGCCGGTGCAGCTCAGTGGTTGAGCGTCGACCCTGCACTAGGAGGTCACAGTTCAATTCCCAGTCAGGGCACAGGTCCGGGTTGTGGGCTTGATCCCCAGTAGGGGGCGTGCAGAAGGCAGCTGACCGATGATGTTTCTTTCTCATCATTGATGTTTCTATCCCTCTCTCCCTCTCCCTTCCTCTCTCTCTCAAAATCAATAAAAACATATTTTTAAGAAAGAGCTTAGCGTGCAAGCGATCTTCGCCATGCAGAGCCATCCCTACACTTGAAAGTTGAACACAGAGACCTCTGTCCATGGGCATGTGTCCAGGTGTCCCCCCAAATGGCGTTCCTTCACGTCCCCCCACCTCACAGCTGGCTGTGGCCACAGGACGGCATCCAGAGGTGAAAGAACATAAATGGACTGAGGTGTGCTCAGTGCATGAACGGAGATGAAGGAGCAGATCTGACAACAGCCTGGCCTGCACGGTGAGGCACTGGAACTGACTAACGTCACAGACGTGCACGCCTTTAAACCCTATGAACATGTAAACCTGAACACGTGAAAAATGAAAATAAAACACCGAATGCTGAGAGCAGACGGATGAGAAGGCAAGTCCGAGGAGCAGGAGAGGAGCGTTCAGACAGAGACCTGCGCCTTTTCTGGGCGCACCTACCTGGCCTCCAGGTAGCGCCCCGTGAGCAGCAGGAGGCCTCTCAGCGCGATGAAAGTGTCCCGGCCCCAGCAGCGGAAGATTCCAGAAGAAAAGTGAGGCAAGCCTAACCGAAAACACAGCAAAGTCATATGTTAATCCACATTATCTTGTCTGTCTGTCTTCCTGCTTGTTGAAGCCAGACCGTCTCTCCTCTATCTATCTATCTATCTATCTATCTAAGCCTAATATGCAAATTGTCCCCCTCGGGAGTTCGACCCGGAGACCGGGAGTTCCATCGCTCACTATGACGTGCGCTGACCACCAGGGGGCGGTGCAGAACGAAGGAAGGCCCTGGCCAGCAGCAGGAAGGCCCTGATCGGCCCTGATCGCTGGCCAAGCCTAGGGACCCTACCTGTGCAACAATTTCATGCACCGGGCCTCTAGTAGAAAATAAGATCCAAGCTAACAGAAACCCCACAGTCTCGAGAGCACAGGCCATTGTAACTGGCTCAGGTTTCAATGCCCCTTGCAGGAAAGAATGCCAATAACAATGCAGTTAAAGCACTTGATGGCAGCCAGACACATAATAACATCTTATTTAACGGACGTTTTGTGTTTTGCAGCCTGTAGAGAGCCTTTTCATGATTTCTTGGTCGTTATAAGGTTGGGTTAATTTTTAAGAATTGGGGAAGAAGTAGAATATGATGGAATAAAAGTAGTAATCATATTTCATAAAAAATACAAAATGGCAAGAGTTGAAAATTACAGAAACATCCAGGAGAAAAGAATTAACCACCCACAATAAAAAACGCAAATAACTATAAATGCCCGCGGCACAGTAATAATCACATGGGAAGCACGGTTATAATGTTCACAAGTGACCCGATCGGCCCTGATCGCAGGCCAGGCCTAGGGACCTTACCTGTGCAAGAATTTCGTGCACCTGGCCTCTAGTAGAAAATAAGATCCAAGCTAACAGAAACCCCAGTTTCGTTTACTGAAGTTCATCAAGAGCAGAGGCCACTGTAACTGGCTCAGGTTTCAATGCCCCTTGCAGAAAAGAATGCCAATAACAACACAGTTAAAGCACTTGATGGCAGCCAGACATATAATAACAACTTATTTAACGGACGTTTTGTGTTTTGCAGTCTGTAGAAAGCCTTTTCATGATTTCTTGGTCGTTATAAGGTTGGGTTAATTTTTAAAAATTGGGGAAGAAGTAGAATATGATGGAATAAAGGTAGTAAAACATATTTCATAAAAAATACAAAATGGCAAGAGTTGAAAATTACAGAAACATGCAGGAAAAAAGGATTAACCAGCCACAATAAAAAACGCACGTAACTATGAATGCCCGCGGCACAGTAATAATCACATGGGAAGCACGGTTATAATGTTCACAAGTGACCCTCAGTGAAATCTTGCTAAGCAGCCACATAAAATCTTGGATAACGTCATGAGTGTTTTTTATTTCCACTTTTAACAATAAAGATAAATTTTTAAAAATAAAAAAACAATTACTTCCATAGCTTTTCCTCTTTGAATTATTCTGACGTACACATTCCCACCTCGTACGCACGCCTCACCTGCTGCTAGAGACACACAGCACTGCTCCCGCTCTCGCGTGGCCTCGTTCAGCCTGTAGGGCACATCGGGCAGGGCCGGGGAGAGCCGGGGCAGGCAGGGGAACCTCCCCACCCCGCACATCTGCACCGAGCCCAGCGAGAGGTGTTTCACGAAGGTAGAACCATTCTGGACGAAGCTGCAAGGAAGTGGCAGGGTTGAAAGTATTGTTTGTAGAAACACAAACATTTTATTATTTACTTATTTTTTAAAAAAATACATTTTTATTGATTTCAGAAAGGAAGGGAGAGGGAGAGAGAAACTTCAATGATGAGAGAGAATCATTGATTGACTGCCTCCTGCACGCCCCCTACTGGGGATCGAGCACATAACCCGGGCATGTGGCCTGACCAGGAGTCAAACCAGTGACCTCTTGGTTCATAGGTCGACGCTCAACCAGGAGCCACACCGGCCAGGCAGAACAGATTTTAATATCTAAGCTTTTGTATGCTCCATATGACAGGAGGCTAATACTGTTACTACCCACTTACAAATGCTCTCGGCTCTCTGCGTCTGTGCTCTCTACATGGTCTTCTCAGAGCACATATAAACAGACCGCACAGGCTTCTGCACAAGATGCCTATTCCCAGGCTTTGCGGGTACCTGGACATCTGCTTCCAGGCTGTGTCCAGGAGGGTGGTGTAGGTGCCAATCAGTATGGCATCGAAGTAGCACGGGATCAGGTAGCGCGGGATCTGCTTCAGGTAGAAGAACATGGCCTGCAGCCACTTACCCACCTGTGAGGACAGGATGCAAAAAGCGCATGGGGTGTGTCTGCAGGCCGGCTGTGCATTAAAAGGCAAATCCAAACCCGCAACTCTACTGACTAGTTATCTACCAACCAGGTACCCGTTTATTAGAACTGAGAGATGACGGGAAAATGTTTCAGGGTAGCAAGCCATGTAAATATTATACATATGACATGGTAACACATGTTATTGTGCCCTTGTTCATGATGTAAATACTAGAGGCCTGGTGCACAAAATTCGGGGACAGGTAGGGCCACTGGCGATCAGGGACGATCGGGGCCTTCCGGCTGCTGGCTGGGGCCTTCCTTCGCTCCGCGCCAACTCCTGGTGGTCAGCGCATGTCATAGCAATCGTTCTCCTGGTTGAACTCCCGTGGGGACACTTTGCATATTAGCCTTTTATATATATACATTATACATATAACATGGTAACACAGTTCTTACTGTGCCCTTGTTCATTATGTAAATATTACATGTATAACGAGTAATACAGATCTTACAGTGCCCTTGCTCATTATGTAAATATTATACGTATAACAGGTAACACAGATCTTACTGTGCCCTTGTCCATCTGGACTACAATACGGCTGTGCTTACCTCGGCCACAGCTCCCGGTCGGGAAATGAGCCGGCTACTGACGTAGTCAATCATCCAGTCTCCAGCTCTCAAGTTATCACAGAAGGGGTGCCCCAAGTCGTTCTTTGGTCTGATCTCTGCCAATACGGACATCAGTCCTGCAAAGTCACAGGAAGGTCAGGCTATGTCGTTGGCAGAGGCCATGGCTCCACCATGCTCGTGGCTAACCCTCTGGGGAGGCAGACGGTGTCCCCGCTGGCATGCTCTCTCTGCCCTGTGGCATCATGGGGAGGGTACGGATGTCTGTGTGTGTCTGTGTTGACAGGCGGTAGATTCATTCATACTCAGGGAAGACTTAAGGAAGTCACAGAACTGGTTTCAGAGAGCAAGAGCATTGATGGTGATATGACTAAAGCCTACTTTGGAAACAATGTTGATATAGAACAGGAGGTACATGGAAGTAAACGAAGTGTCTAAGTGAGGTATATAGGCACATCTTTAAAATAACTCCTAACGAGAAATAGAAGTCCTATGCATACGTAGCACATTTCTGTCATAGAGGGGCAACTTTTCTTTTTTTTTAAATATTTTTTCTAATTGATTTTAGAGAGAGAGGAAAAGAGAGAGAGATAGAAACATCGATTAGATAAAGAATTAAAAAAATAAACAAACAAAAAACAAAAGAAACATCGATGAGAGAGGGACATCGATCGTCTGCCTCCTGTAACTCCCCTCACCGGGAATTGAACCGGTGACCTCTTGGTTCATGGGTCGATGCTCAACCACTGCGCACCCCCGGGGGGGCAGTCCACAGCATATTCTGCTATTTCAATGAAGTACCTCACTTTGTCCTCAAAAAAGCCTTCATGCCGGACAATATGATGGACACTTCCTAGAGGTGGGCGGGGGGCAGAGGGCAGCGTCCTGGCAGGGGCCAAGGAAGGAGCGGGCAGCCGAGCACAACCTGAACCCAGGCGGCCAACTCCGAGCCCACACTCTTACTTTTATCAAAAAGACACCGTCTGACGCTTGAAAAGACACCCCACACGCTGAAGGCCCTCGCCCTGCTCACCTTGAAGGCCCGCGTACTTGAGAGGCGACCAGCGGGGGACGTCGTAGCACCCGCCGCCGTCCTCGCGCTCCTCGGCCTCGCAGCGGTACAGCACCTGGTTCAGCTCGGCCAGGGTCAACCGGGAGGCGATGCTGAGCGACACAGAGAGCGGGTGAGACGGACGGACGGACGGACGGGCAGCCACTTGCCGCCCATAAACACGCAGGAGGAAACCCTGCGCCATGACCACAGGACGTCTCAGCGATGCCGGCGAGAGCAACTCATCCTTACCACGGGCCTCGCAACCTACATGCCCAACAGCAGCGAAAGGGGGAGCGTGCCAGCAGGTCCGGCGGGAGGAGCGCTGCTCCCACACCAGGGAGCAAAGCACACTGGGAACATCTCCTGACCCCTAAGTTCTTGAACTCGCAAATTTGTTTTCTTAATTTTTTAAAAAATATATTTTTATTGATTTCAGAGAGGAAGGGAGAGGAAGATGGAAACATCCATGGTGAGAGAGAATCATGGGTCGGCTGCCTCCTGCACACCCCTTGCTGGGGATCGAGCCTGCAGCCCGGGCATGTGCCCTGACGGGAACTGAACCCGGGGTTTTTCAGTCCGCAGGCCGAGGTTCTAGCCACTTGGCCAAACTGGCTAGGGCACAAATTTGTTTTCGTGATCTTTCTGGTTTGGGCGAAGTCTCCCCTCCTTTGTATTTTCCTGTGTGGGACACCCAGAGCTTTTTACCTCAATTCCTGAAACTCAAGACACTTATCAAAGGACCAGAAAAGGGGTCACCAAGGTCCCGGCTCCGCCTCTGGAATTCTCCCAAAGGCCGCCCTGCCTGCCGGCCTGGTCACTCAGACACCAGGGCTTTCCTTAGATTAGATGCTTGTTGGTAATGGTCAGAGGGAAGGGCCTATCTCGGCCTGATGTCCCTCGCTCGCTCGGTCAGCAGGGAGGCTCTATAACTGACCACAGCTCAATACCCCGACCCCCCACTTTCCTGTGCTTACAGTTGCTCGGGTAGCTTCCTTGTCCATAACTGAATACACATCCTGTTGAATTTTATGGGGACACACACCCTGTTGCCTGGACTTCCTTCTTCCTCCTTTAGTCCAGTCTCAACCAGCACCCCCAGCTGGGACGACTCCCTCTGCAGGCTGCCGGCCAAATCCCTCAGCAGTGTCGGCACCAACTCCTTCTGGCCTATTTCCCAACAGGCGGCCAGGGAGCTCCCTGTGGAGAGCAGGCTGCAGACTCACTACACTGCAGATTCCAGGTCGGGGGGGGGGGGGGGGGGGGGTACCCCAGGTGAGCTGAGCAGGCTGAGGAGGAGCATCCGTTCTGTGAGCATTCCATAGGAACACAAAGCTGCTGCACCACACGATTTTTTTCAGAGTGCAACTATTTTGCTAAGAAGAGTTTGAATTAAGCGTTAATATCCCTGCCCAGCTGGTGTGGCTCAGTGGTTGAGCACTGACCTATGAACCAGGAGGTCACGGTTGATTCCCGGGTCAGGGCACAGGCCCGGGTTGCAGTCTCGATCCCCAGTACGGGACGTGCAAGAGGCAGCCAATCAATAATTCTCTCTCATCACTGATGTTTCTATCTCTCTCTCCTTCTCCCTTCCTCTCTGAGATCAATAAAAATATATACATATATATTTTTAAAAAGTAAATATCCCTGATGATAAAAGTTCTTATAAAACAACAAAGATAACTGAGCAGAACAGAGAAAAGGGTGAATGTGTAAAATGACATATCACCAATAAATACAAATGGCCAAGGAACAAAAACAACTTTAACTTAATATTTAAAATAAATTAAAATGAGATGTTGCTTTATATCTAACAACTTTACATATCCTTTATAAAGTACTTTATATTAACCAGTTTGAGTAGCAACAGCTAACACTTCGGGACCACTTACTATGTGTCAGACATGCGCTAAGTGTTTGACACAGGAAGTCCTCAGAGCTCCGTGGGGAGCCCCTAGTCATCGCCACTGGACCTCTGCCCGCGGTCTTACTTCTCACCGCGGATAAGAGTCCGAAATGGAGTGTCCCAGGTAGCTGCTGCTAGGCCCTGTGCTTAAACGCTTCACCACCAGAGCCCACACTCGGGACTGGGAAGGAGGGGTGATGGACGCTCGTGCACAGACGGAAGGGATTAAAGAGCGTCATCGTTCTGGAGGGAACCTGGAGATGTTAAAAGCCTCAAACAGGTGGATGTGTTCCAACCCAGAAACTCCACTTCCGGAAACGCCCCCGATGACCAATGACGGCCAGTGTTAAGCGCTTTCTATGCACCATCCTATTTAACCCTTCCGAGTTTTAAGCGGCAGGTACTGTTATAAGCCCGTGTTCCAGACGGGGACACGGAGATACAAGACGTCTAACTATCGTGTCTCACATCAGACTAACAGTGGTGAGGCTGCAGCTGGGTCCATCCTCTCCCTGGGTGTGGCCCCGCCCGGGCAGGGAGCAGGAGGGGGAGAAGAAGGGATTATGCGAAGGTGAAAGTGCACACACACAGAACTGGGAACAACTGGAGGCAACCTAGATGCCCCCAAAATGGAGAAGTAAATGATGGTGTCGCTAGGTAACAGAACGCCACATTGGCATCTTTGAAAAAATGATGTGGTAGGAAGTGTGTCTGTAGTTTCGTCTCAAGTCTTTCAGAAAAATTGTGTGTGTGTGTGTGTGTGTGTGTGAGTGTAGACAGAATCGTGTGTGTGTGCATATATGTGTCTGTATCTATAGAGAGAGCGTACATGCCAACACACACACACGAGCAGGCACGTGGGATAAAGGTAGCAATCGGTGATGCGGGGGCTGCTGGTCCTTGGGCCCCCCTTCGAGTGGCAAGGATGCAGGAACCCTTACACCTGCCCACCTCAGGCCGGTGGTCGTCCCCGGGTGTTAAAGGGGCAGATCTCCGTGCAGGGGGCATACTTACGACGCAAAGGGGACTTGCAATATGGGGTCTGAGTTGTCGACCACGAGGCTCCCGGCCTTGAAGTGAGGACTGAACTGCGTCAGGTGATTCCGGAGAATCCCAACCGCGACCTGTGCGTGGGGGTCGAGACTCACTCTGAAAACACGAGTGGAAAACGGGTGAATCTCTAAGACTAAGTTACTTAAAATTAATGCAAACTATTTTGAACAGAAGCAGGGTCGGCGGTGTGAACGCTGCCATACCGGAATACGATGACGCTCCCTGGAGACAGGTTCTCAAATTCGATTTCCTGGATGTACTCGTTGGGCCCCTTGGTGGTGATGCCGGCTTGTTTCACAATCTTACTCTCGTGAAGCTTGGGACAAAGGGAGACACGACCACTCAGTGGATCATTCCCACGCGCTCAGGACGCTAAGCACGGGAGGGGGAGGCGAGCACCAGTACCTGGATGTGTTCTCTGGTTTCCACGGTGACATTGGGCATCCCGTTGATGGACTTCTCGTCCTTCTTATAAGGCTTTGTGTTCCTTTCAATAGTTCTCGCTTCAAGAACGACTTCTTCAATTTTACCTAGGAGCATGCAAACATGTTAACAGAATTTCGTAAGAAACCATCTGAAATGAGGAATTGCAAAAGGGGTTTTAAAAACCACTTAATTGAAAGTTAAAGATGAAAAGTCAGTTAATTAAAAAAACAAAAAAACAAAACGCCCCGGCCGATGTGGCTCAGCTGGTTCAAGTGCACTTGCCCGGGTTGTGGGTTTGATCTCAATCGGGTGTATAGGAGGCAACTAATCAATGTTTCTCTCTCTCTCCCTCCCCTTTCCTCTCTCTCTAGAATCAATGAAAAACATATCCTTGGGTGAGGATTAAAAAACAAAACAAAATTATTACCAAGATCTCGAATTCTTTTTCTCCACGACAAGCACACGTCACTGGGTTGTAATACATGCGATATACAACGGCAGTGTAATGTAACATAGTGTGGATTAATATAGCAACATACTATGACCCCAATAACATGTTTAGGCGGCATTACCGGGGATGCACATCTGGGGCACCTCCTTGCTGTAGAAGGAAGTCTTGGGGTTCCTGAACGCAGTCCGGCACACAGCCACCACGGACTGATGGCTGCTGGGCGAGTGTCTGGTCACGGCCACGATGTCCTCGTCCACCTGGTCCACATACACCTGCGACGCAGGAGGAGTGAGAGGTCAGCGCTCTGGCCGGGGAGACTCGCGGGGACACGGCACCTTAGGGAAGAAACGTGGACAACCCGCGTCTTGCCTGGATGAAACCGCCGGCCCCCAGCTCCTGGTGCAGGGTGTTGATGGCGCGCCTGGCCGCGAGGATCCCGCTCTGGAAGTTCACTTCGCCCGCGTCGGACGGCGATGCCCCGGGGTTCCACTTGGTGTAAAACCGCTCTTCGGCCACCACTGAAATCTGGACAGAGTGAAGGCAGAACGTGTGGACACTTTCGCCACAAGGAGAACTTTGGGGGCAAATGCTCAAAGCTGCTGGCCCTGTGGATTTTATTTTATTTTATTTTATTTAAAATATGTCTTTATTGATGTTAGAGAGGAAAGGAGAGGGAGAGAAGGATAGAAACATCAATGATGAGAGAGAATCATGGATCGGTTGCCTCCTGCACGCCCCCTACTGGGGATCGAGCCCACAAGCAGGGCATGTGTCCTGACTGGTAATGGAACCTTGACCGCTTGGTTCACAGAGCCATGCTCAACCACTGAGCCACACTGGCCGGGCCGTGTGGACCTGAAGACAGCACATAAACCAACCTGGTGAGGCACCAGTTCGTCATAGCCCCGGGTGCTTCCGCTCGCACAGCACGCCATGGAGACGATCGTGGCGCTCGGGAGGGCGTCATAGGCGGATCTGTGCTGGAAAACAAACAAACAAACAAAACACCCAAAGTTAATTTCCTTTCCAATGCAAAGGGCCGTCTGACAGCATCACGAAGTAAAAGGACAATTACAGAAGTACGTTCTCTAAGATGCCTCACTTTGCTTTAGAACAAATCACAAGACGTTCTAAGCACCACGTCCCACAGTCACCTGTGAACCTAACCCTCTTTCGAAGTCCGTGGACGTTACCGCCACTAAACAGCGGAGAACTCAACATCGAAACATGGGAGACTGAGGTCGGGCGCTCACCACGATGGGACACTCGTTGTCGTGGGTGATGTCCATGAACAGGGCGTGGGCGATGGCCGGCATCAGGGGCCGCAGGCAGGGCTGGACGAAGGAGCCCACGGGCTCGCCGCCGTAGCGGTACACCAGCCTGCCCTCCTCGTGACTGTTATGCGCACTCATGGCCTCTGCGAAGCGAGACGGCTGTTTAGTCTTCGTGGTTAATGTCCGAGGCTAGATTTCCCATCATGCCTGACTTTCCAAAGAAGGCCACATGAATACTACCAACAATACAGCTGCTTTAGCCCTAGCTGGCTTGGCCTGCTGACTGAAGGGTCCCAGGTTCGATTCCCGGTCAGCGCACAGGCCTGGGTTGCGGGCTCGATCCCCAGTGTGGGGCGTGCAGGAGGCAGCCGGTCCATGATTCTCTCCCATCATTGATGTTTCTATCTCTCTCTCCCTCTCCCTTCCTCTCTCTGAAATCAATAAAAATATATATTTTTAAAAAAACTGCTTTAAACATTTAAACAAATGTCCACTGGCTTAAGTGACCAAAAATGTATCTACTCGATAATTTAACTGGGGAAATGGCTCATGTAGATGAAACGGAGCATGCGTTGTTTATTAGGAGGTTGGTTAGATAAAAATCTAAGGATTCTATCGTATATCTAGGTAGTCAAGAGGAAAAACAGATTTGTATATTTTCAACAACAACAAAACGGTTTTGTTCAGGAGTCATCGATGCATCGCCCTGGTCTTTCAGTTTAAAATATTTTGCCACCCGGCCAGTGTGGCTCAGTGGTTGACCATCGACCCATGAACCATGAGGTCACGGTTCAATTCCCAGTCAGGGCATGTGCCAGGGTTGGGGGCTTGATCCCTAGTAGGGGGTGTGCAGGAGGCAGTCGATTGATAAATCAATAAAAACATATTAAAAAAATAAAATATTTTTCCCCACAGTGGAAATTTTTACTGAAAAAACAAAACAAAAAACAAACAAAAAAGAAACAAAACCAAACCAGACTGCGTTACACTGGGGAATTCTGTGTGGAATATTTGAAAGGACGTGCGCGGTGCTGAAAGCTATTAAGCCTCCATGGAGGGCTCTGCGAGGCCTTGTCCCCGCGTCAGCAAGCCCACCTCTGATCAGGGAGCTGATGCCCAGCCTGGTGACGAAGATGTTGTCCAGCTCCTCGCTCCCCGTGAACAGCTCCGCCACCACGTACAGGTTGGGCTGCAGTTTCCGGGCGGCGTCCAGCATGTACTGCAAAAGGCAGTCAGAAATGTCACCGGGAGAGAAAACAAGACGGGAGGAGAGCGGAGGGGCGAGCCTGGGCGCGGACTTGACAGGAAAGACCAGGTTGCAAGACAATGTGGGAATGCAGGAGGCATTTCCAAAGACATTTAATGTACATGTAAAAAAAATAAATAAAACAGGCCAGAGAATATATAAAGAGAATGAAACTGCCCGGCCGGTGTGGCTCAGTGATTGAGCATCAACCGTTTAATGTACATGTAAAAAAAATAAAATAAAACAGACTGATATACCCAACAAACCAGTGAAGATATAAAGAGAATGAAACTGCCCGGCCGGCGGGGCTCAGTGGTTGAGCATCAACCTAGGAACCAGAAGGTCACGGCTCCACTTCCCATCAGGGCACGTGCCCGGGTTACAGGCTCGATCCCCAGTGTGGGGCGTGCAGGAGGCAGCTGATCCTTGATTCTCTCTCATCATTGATTTTTTTTTTCTCTCTCTCTCTCCCTCTTCTTTCCTCTCTGAAATCATTAAAAATATATATTTTTTAAAAAAAGAGAATGAAAGAGTTCAAAGGAAGGTTAGATTTTGTAAAGATAATAGGACACGAAAGGGAAAAAAGAGAAATGTTAGTGTCGTGTTAAAAAGGTAGACCATTGCCCTGCAGTTCTGCTAGGCTTTCCCCTGCTGTGTGTGTGTGTGTGTGTGTGCGCCTCTACGTTCCAGGTGGTGGGCTAGGCCGTCCCTGATGGAGTCCCTGTGTGAGGCACGCAGGTGTGGCACAGAGCAGAGCGACTGACTCGCCGCAGACAGCTGTTCCTGTGGACGTGATAACCGCCTAACCCACAATCAGTCATCTTCCAACATTTCCCACAGAGCGTTTGCACAAAGGTTAATAAGTACTTGAAATTCTATCAGCTAACAAGTAGGGTCCTAGAGACTTTCTGTTTCCCTAAATTAGAATAAAAATATTAACTCAAACATTTTATCGCTCAGTATTCCATAATAACACGTCAAAAGATGCAGTTAGAATTGTGCAAATTGTGCCCTGGCCAGTTTTGCTCAGTGGATAGAGCGTCGGCCTGCCGAGCAAAGGGACCCGGGCTCGATTCGGTCAAGGGCACAATTGGTTGCAGGCTCCTCCCAGCCCAGGTCCTGGTCGCACGTGCAGGAGACAAACAACTGATGTGTGTCTCTCACATCAATGTTTCTCTCTGTCTCTCCCTCTCTCTTCCACTCTCCCTAAAAATCAATGGAAAAATACCCTCGGGTGAGGATTAACAAAAGAAAAAAGAATTATGCAAATTGTGCAGAGGTTTTAAATGCAACCAGCAGGTCCACGCTGTGTCCAGGCGCGCACGGAAGCGCACGTGCACTCTATCCAGGGGGCCAGGAGGTGCGGGGCCTCCTTGTGATGGAGACGAGCTGCCTCCGTACCTCGGCCACGTGGAGCGGCGTGGAGTGGCAGTTGTCCAGCCGCACCCCCTGGAAGTGCGTGGCGGTGATCTCCGTGTACTTCCTCATGTGGGCCCACAGGTACGGGCAGTCCTCCGGCTTCTGCCCGTAGCGCAGCTTCACGCTGTCTCCCCAGCAGATCAGCTCCCTCCGGAGATACACGTTGGAGCCTGGAAGGAAAGAGCATGCCTTCGGTGATCCAAGACGTCAGAGGGAGACGCCGACGCCAGGGAGACACTGTTGTTTTTACACCCGTGGGCTATTTCTACCACAGCCACGGACATACTGGTTAAGATTATACCTCGCGTGGCTTGGGATAAAGTTTTCAAAAATTAGTATGAATTGACATCTCATCTGCCTTGCAAGAATGCTAGCTCTTAGTCTCTTCTAAAAATGTGGGCTTGATGTCAAAAAATCAAGTTGCTTCTTAAAGGAAAGCAGCAATGGCAGTATCATTGGCCTTTCAAGCTACAGTTCCACCAAGCCCATCGGAAGCTCCGTCCCCGCCTTGCACCCACGTTGGCAACAGGTGACGTTCAGGCCATGACACAGCAGGATGCTTTATTTACGTTTCACGTACAATGGCCAGAAAGGAGCTGGCGGAGACACTTACGCCCCAAGTTATATCCTTTTTGCTTTTAAGTGAGATCTTTAAATTAATCTGACTGTCATGAAAGCAGACTTCTAGTTCTGAAATGTTGAAAAATAAATATATTGATGGGTTCCCTGTCAGTTGCTCCCGGCAACAACCAACAGCTGCCGAGAAATAAGGTGTCAGGGCTCCGTGAGAGGGAGCCCGGGGGTGGTGAGTTCCTGGTTGAAAACTGCTGCTCAAAGACTTTACTCCTCTGGCCAATGAGTGAACATATCTCCTAAGACAACACAACTGTGACAGCTGTGGTCCCAAATGCCTTTTAAAAATGCTATAGCGTACATTTTTGCAAAAACACAATCTTATGCGCAATCCCAGGGAACAGCAGATCTATAGGAGCCGTCTGGTGGAGGAGGGGAGAGGAGGGGAGAGGAGGGGGAGGAGGAGAAAGCCGAATCCATCCTTTTCATTATCCTTTTCTCTCAAACCGTCTGCCCTCTGGTCCCTCTGTGATGAAGCAGTTTATAAACCACTAGCCTAACGAGGAAAATACTGGATAAAATGGCCCGTTTCGTGTTTGCCAGGAGCTTCCTGTCCCTGGCCACAGAGGAGCAGCAAAGGTGCGCACACACCTGGTTCGGCGAAGTTCCGAAGGGGGTCGTCCCCCATGACCCACCCGTTGTGCGCCATCAGGAAGCAGGCTTTGTCCGGGAGGTGGATCACGGCTTCCTCCGCCGACAGGCTCGCTTCTTCAAACGGGAACGTGAAGTACCTGGGGCGACAGGAGGAACTGTGAAATCCACGCGGAGAAACTCTGAGGAGAGGGTGTGAGTGAGCACTGTGAGCCTTCAAGCTCCTCCCTCGTGGGCAGGACAAGTGAGGCTCGTTGGGCACCATTCATAGGAGATAAATGTCAATGCAGGTGAAAAGTCCGCAGCAGAGTTTGGGAGTAAAGCTCGTAGAATCTGAGGGGCGAGAGGTGCCGTTATAACGGATCTGGTCAGCGCTGTGAATAATAGCTTACAAGGTCTCCTAACTGACTAATAAAGTCACGGAGGTACCGATTTTTTGCTCCACATTAGTCACCTAGCCCCATGGTCAGCAAACCGCAGCTCGAGAGCCACATGCAGCTCTTTGGCCCTTTGAGTGTGGCTCTTCCACAAAATACCACGTGTGGGCGCGCATGTACAGTGCGATTGAAACTTCGTGGCCCATGCGCAGAAATTGGTATTTTGTGGAAGAGCCACACTCAAGGGGCCAAAGAGCTGCATGTGGCTCTCGAGCTTGCCGACCACTGGCCTAGCCGATGCCGCACATCACGTAAAAGGAGCTGAATGCTTGCTCCGTTTGAGTGACACGGAAATGATCAGTAAGGGTGCAGTCCTCCGTGACATGAATGTAAATAATTGTACAGTGGTTCACACTGATGATAGCGTCTCTAACTAAAGATCTGCCCAACAGAATGAATGAATAGCAAGCCCAGTCACCCAATCAGCGCTTCCACTGCCATTGAAGAAATGCTCTGGAAGTCACGCACGAAAGGGAACATTTAGGCTCACCTGAAAAGCTAAGTACCACTTCTAATTTTTAAAAAATATATTTTTATTGATTTCAGAGAGGAAGGGAGAGGGAGAGAGAGATAGAAACCTCTATGATGAGAGAGACTCATTGATTGGCTGCCTCCTGCATGCCCCGCACTGGGGATCGAGCCCACAACCCGGGCATGTGCCCTTGACCAGAATCAAACCCGGGACCCTTCAGTCCACAGGCTGACACTCTACCCACTGAGCCAAACTGGCCAGGGCCCACTTTTAACTTTCAATGAGAAGAAAACAAAAACAGAATACCTGGTAACTAAAGGGTCTTTCTTCGTGATGGGTCCTAGTTTGGGACCATGGCCAGCCAGTCGCTCATAAAACACATTTCCCAAAACGCAATTAACTGCCTGGAAAACATTAAATGATGTTAACGTCATAGCAACAACAATAGCCGGTATTGCGATTCGGAGACCAACGGCAGCGCAACAACAGGCCAAACCTGCTCCTGATGAGAGTTGACAAGTTGGCGTTTCTCTGCATTTAATTCCTCGACTCTCTTCCGGAACCAGTCACAGCATTCGTCAATCGCGGCCGGCCCGTTGCTAGAGCAGAGAGAGCGACACAAGCCTGTTCGTTCACGCTGTTACACATCCTACGTTTAAAATGTTCCCGGGGGTTGGTGACAAAGGTGACGGGATGGAGAAGTGCAAGTTTGTAGCTACAGAGTCGTCACGGGGACGTAGAGTACAGCATGGGGAATACAGTCAACAGTATTGCAGGACTCTGTATGGGCCCAGGCGGTGCTGGATTTATCAGGGTGACCATGGAGTGAGCTATATCAATATCGAATTATGGGGTTTGCACACCTAAAGTTAATGTAAGATTGTATGTGAACTGTAATTGGAAAATACAATATTATTTAAAGTAAAAATAATTTTTTTAATGAAATGAAAAGATAATTTCTACCAAGGGTCATGGTTCTTTTTTTATTTAAATATATTTTATTGATTTTTTACATAGAGGAGGGAGAGGGATAGAGTTAGAAACATCGATGAGAGAGAAACATCGATGAGCTGCCTCCTGCACACCCCCTACTGGGGTTGTGCCCGCAACCAAGGTACATGCCCTTGACCGGAATCGAACCTGAGACCCTTAGGGTCTGCAGGCCGACACGCTATCCACTGAGCCATGCTGGCCAGGGTGGGGCTTATTCTCTATTGCACAGAACACACAACATACTTGTGGGGTATGAAGGTGGCCAGTGCGAGGTTCATGTCCACGGCACAGCCCAGCCGCCGGTACTCGGGGTCCTGGATAATCTCCAGGTGCCGCTGGGCATCAGGTGGGGTTGCTACTTTCCTATTTCCTGAGAAAGAAAAGGCAACATCATCCTCAATGCAAATACCCACAAGGAGATGAACTCTTACTGACTCCACATTTTTAGTTTGTGATGCTTTTCATAGACAATAAAACAAACGTTTATTTCACAAACACCCTTCCTGCCCCCCAACATACATGTGCACACCACCCAACACACATACGCACACATTTCCAACCTCCTCACGCCACCCAAGATACATGTGCACACCACCCAACACACATACGCACACATGCAGACCACCCAACACACATGCACACCAGCCAACACACACACACACACACACATGCAGACCACCCAACACACATGCACACATGGAGGAAAAGAGACATAGAGATAGAGAGACAGAGAGAGATTGGGAGAAAATAGCATCATGGAAGAAGAAACGCAGGGGTTCCTATCAGTTCGACCCCAGGGCCACTTTCCTGCCTCTGTCAGCACTCACTTATTCTATATATTATTTTAGAGCAAACACATAACCCCAGGAGTTCTTCTCCCCGAAGATTGCTTTCTCTTCTACTGTCTGTCTCACTAACCACCTGACTTTCTTTCCACACAGGTTTGTTTTCATACTTTTCTCTTTTCCCCCAACAAGCACATTCCTTACAGAGTGAGAGTAAACAGTATTCTTGGGGTGACTTTTCATTCCTTTTCTGGAAGGTGTTTCTGATTCACAGTATATCTCTAAGCACATAAAATCATGTGATTTTACATGAACTAACTAATATCTGGCTTATTCTAAAGAGACATAGAAATGGCTTATGGCCCAGCCAGCGTAGCTTAGTGGTTGAGCATCGACCTATGGACCAGGAGGTCAGGGCTCGATTCCCGGTCAGGGCACATGCCTGGGTTGCAGGCTCGATCCCCAGTGTGGAGTGTGCAGGAGGCAGCCAATCCATGATTCTCTCTCATCATTGATGTTTCTATCTCTCTCTTTCCCTCTCCCTTCCTCTCTGAAATCAATAAAAACATATTTTTTTAGAAAAGAAATGGCTTATAAAAACACAAATAAGATAAAATATAGATTCTCAAAATCTCCTTTCTGTATTCTGAGCATTGTACTAAGGAACCAAGGGACAGACACAGTCCCCAAAGGCAAGGATGAGGTGATATATGATTATGACCTGCCCTCCGATCGTCTCTGCTAACTATCAGAGAGCTCCCCAAAGCATAGTTTTGCAGTTGATCAAAACAACACAAATACCACATAACCACACATCTACGAAAGGGTTAACGCGGGGAAAGAAGAGTAATGTTACATTTCAGAAACCCGACAGGCGCACTGGTGTGTGTGCTGTACCTTGTGTGAGGAGTCCTCGGAATTGCTCAACGGCTTTGTCAACGTCCACTTGGAAAAATTCCCAGAGCTGGATCTTTGGGAAAACATCCTCCCAAATGATTTTCCGGATGCACTGAAAAATGGCCAATAGTTAAAACACAGGTGCATATTTTTAAAGCCTTTTAAGCAGATGTCATTGCGCGTATCAAAAGGCCGGCCGTAAACGACGTTCGGCCATGCGTGGAGTTTGTGGGGACGGTGTGCGGGGCTGCGGAGCCCCATACATACTGACATGCATGTGATGCTCGTTCTCGATCAGCGCGGGCACCCCCCTGTCTCGGTATCTCCCGGCGGCCACGTCGCAGGAGAGGTGCCACAGGGCTCGGTCCAGGACCCAGGCGGGCTTCAGGTGCGGAGAGTTCACCAGGTTGTAGGCGCTCTCCGGGTGGGCCTGGATCCATCTGCTATTCGTAGCTTCAGGAAGAAGGAAACACAAGGGAAGAGCTTGTAATAGATGGAAGTTAGTAGCTGCGCTAGGTCTAAAGGTGAAATACGACGTCGCTGTCGACCGCTCGTTGTCTGATATGTGAGACATCAGTGCCTTGTGCTGATGCTGTGCTGGGAAAACACTAGTACGTTGTGTCTGTGATACATATCCCACCACCCACTTCACCATCTGTGGTGCTTTTCTGCTGTGGGCATTTTTAGTGAGAGCAGATAGGACGCCACGCTGATCTAACACCGCTGTAGTAACATGCTTGCTGTCGTGGTGGGAGGTGACAAAGGGCATGTCCTTTGAGGGTCACGACCTCTCTGATGGTCCTTGAGTCGACCGTAAAACGCTCTTTCAAAGTCTGAAGGACATCTTTCTCGTCTGGGCTCTAGCCCGACATCAAGTCCCCTGGCCTCTGTGGGCAGAGTCACCTGTGCCTTCAGCTGGGGTCTGGGCTGCTCCGTGTCTGGCTGTGAGGTCCAGGGCGGGAGAATAGCCCCCTTTCCATGTCTTTTCTCCCCCTTCCCGTCTCCTGAGCGACAGGGCCCTTCTCCATCCCACCTAACCTCTGGGCTCTCTCTCTTACCTTAACTTTAAGAGTCAAAAGGTTGTGGACACCCCTTTTTCCTACAGACTCATTTCTCCCCGGGTATTTTTTGGGGGAATGAGGTGAGGGGAGGTGAGGTTCCTTCCTCTCCACCTTCAAATATGCTCTTATCCCTCCAAAGCTGAGACTACAGACAAGTACACATCTTGTCTAAAAAGCTCCTTCTCTAATTTCTGCACAGTCTCTTAGTAGCGAGAACAAATGTCTTGAAAGTCCGTCCCGTATCTGCTGCCTCCACCGTCTCCCCACACTGCAACCCGCTGCACCAGGCCCTGGGCTGAGGGTACCCACCCTCCTAACCGCCAAACTTCCTGTTACGTTCCGTCTTCATCCCTTCCAACCCCTGCATCTGCCGTTCCCGATCAGTCCCTCCTTGATTTACAAAACTCCCTTCCTTGGTTTATGTGAGGATACTCACATACTGATTATATATATTCAACCAACACTTTAGTTTTCTTTTAAAGAAAAAATGGTATCATATAAGGTTTTTTTTTAAAATCGAAGGATACCTAAGCATCATTTGTGTTTCCAATGTTATATGAAACGGCCAGGAATGAAATAACTAGATTATATTTTCGTCAAAATGCACAGTGGTTAACGAAGCTCCTACCAGTGTGATTGTAGACAACGTCGGTAATGCAAAGAATGTTCCACTCCTTTTTCAGTTTTTGCACTAGCTGTCCGACATCGTCCCAAGTGTACTTTTTATTGGGTCTTGAGAAATCAGGGTTTAATTCCAGCTGATTAGCAAGGGAGTAGCATGACCGCGATTGTCCGAGGGTCTGCAGCGGCGTAAGATGAATCATGTTGTAACCTGCAACGCAAGAAAGTAAACACAGATCACCGAAAAGAAAACAACACCTAAACTAAGCAAAATACAACTCCTTAAGTAATTCTAAACAGGAAGGCGACCATGGTACCAGAAAGGAGGCAAAGGCTTGGGTTCAAATCCAAGCTCTACCACAGGCAGCTTCAAGCAAGTTCACTGAAGTCTTCCAGGACATCAGTGTCTTCATACACAAGACAGAGATAATGAGATGGTGTATGTGCAAAAAATCACACAAAGTGTCTAGTTACCATTAGGGGCTTGATTTATATTTGTTGAATGGATAGATTTACATGTAGAAAATTCATCCTAAGCAAGTTTACCAGCATATCTTCCTCCTACTTTTAATGCTCCACGATACTTGTATTTTGTGTTAGTTATGACATTGAACTTCTCATTTATCTCTTCACACCATAGTCAGCTTGAAAGTAGAAAACTAATATGACCTCTTATTGAAGAGTAAAACACAACTTAAGTTTCATTTTACTCTTGCATGTATGACAGCCTTCCTTCCATACACGTCTCCCACACAGAAGGCAGTTAACCAGTATCTGTCGAATTAAAGTTATATGTAATGATAATACATTTTCCAACACATCTTAATAGTGTACCGCTCATCTTTGTATGTCAAAGTAAAGTCTCAGACACAATAATGATCTCACTTTATCACAGAGTTCCTTCATTTAAGTTGAACCATGTAATCTGTCAGTTTTATACATTAAAAAACGGTCAAGCATCAACAATTACATTAGTTCCATCTCTTTGTATTACTAAATGTACTAAGAAACACAATGAAAAGGGGAATCAGAGCCTGTGAGACCTGTGTCACAGACAACGATTACACTTGTTGTCAAACAGGAGAAAGGAAAGAACGCTGACAGTACCTGATTCCTTCGCGACCCTCAGCCGGCTTTCCCACTCGTCAAAGGGCCCCAGACACTTAGCGAGGAAGGTCTGGAGAGTGACACAGTCCAAGGGCAACACCCGGTCATCAGCACCGACCCGTAAAATGGGGTCCACAACGATGTAACCCCCACCGCTCTTCTCGTTCCTAAGGAAAGAAGACACATAAAACGCTCACCCAGTGACGGGGGAAATCTTCATCTCATGGACTGACTCTAGCTGGAAGTGCCTATCCCATTTAACAGTATCTCTCTAAGCACATAAAACCACTTAAAAAGTTGTAATAAAACTCAACGAAAAGCCACGGTTTATCCTTTCCCAATATTTACATAATAATATAATATGTCCAATAATGCTGCTCTAAGAAAAAAATAAGTGTCCTAAAACCTGTCCGTGATAACAAGGGCACTCGAGTAAGCAGCACCCTATCATCAGGTTGCACGGAAAGTCTACAGTATTGAAGCTGTTATTTTAAATAATAACAGTAATGCATGGCCGGTGTGGCTCAGTTGGTTGAGCATCATCCCACGCACCGAGAGCTTGCTGGTTTGATTCCCCGTTGGGGCACATGCCCGGGTTGCGGGCTCGATCCCCAGTAGGGGGCGTGCAGGAGGCAGCCGATCCATGTTTCTCTCTCAGCGATGTTTCTCTCTTTCCCCCTCTCCCTTCCTCTCTCTCTCAAGTCAATCAAAACACATTTTAAAATGAAATAATAATAATGCTTAGAATCTGCAATGAGCCTTCCAATCACTTTCTAGAAGAGCCATTTTCTATTTGCATCTCAAGAAATCCCTGTCAAAGCTGAACGCCATGGTTCATCAGGCAACTTTCTACACATTTAAGCGAGAGAGTAAGCTCCTTTTCCACGCTGGGAACCGGCTCACCCTTGGAGGAAGTAGTAGTGGAAGGAGCCCGCCTGCTGGAGGTGGAGGGCACAGTGTTTGTCCGAGTCATCCTCTCTGCCGGACGGATGCTCCCATTCCAGGGGGCGGAATTTTTCTCGATGAAACGCTTGCCCGGGAAAGGGGTAGTTTGTATGCACAGTGACTGCTTTTCCCTGGAGCGTTGGGCCTAATCGAAACTGCAGCTCAAACCCTAAAGGAAAAGCACATCATTGCAGGACTTGAAGGACCCCACTGGCGCAATAGAGCTTTTAGTGCAAGTATCACAAAACCGCGGTTTCTCAGCGATGGTCAACGGAACGCCTCCCGACATGATGCCGTCTTGTCTCCCGATCCCAGCTCAATTTCACATTTTAGCATCAGGGCCCGTCGAAGGACTGTCCGCTCTACACTGCCCCTGCCCTCTGCCCTGGACACGGATCCCTACTCGCACGCTCACATGGCTACGCTGGGGTATGCGAGTTCTTACGTGACCCCATTTGACACCATCCCCCCAACCCCCAGCCCCGAACTGACTGTTCAGTGGGGGGCATGCAACCTGAGACCTTGGCTGGTATTTTTTAAACTGCAACCAACTGAGAAGTACGTGTCTGGGGGTCCGAGTGTATGGCATATGTAAAAGGTGGGGGGTGTCATGGCACAGCTACCTCACCATCCGGAGAAAGCCAGACCTCCCGGAGAGGAGCCCCCCTCTAGAGAGGAAGAAGTGGGGCTCGAACAGGAGTTGTAGAAGTGGCTGGCCTGGGGGTGCGGGGGTGGTAGTGGGGTGACGAGGAGCTCTGGTTTGCAGTATTTGCTCACCAGTCGGACATGGACCCTCTCAAGCTACCAGCCCGACATCCCTGACCGGGGATGAGGCCCCATCAGCGCTCTGAGCCGCAAGAGTGATTCCAGCAAAGCACTGCCTACATCCCCGCTCCTCGGGGTGGTTACTAAGCCTTTCTACACGACGCTTATGAAGACAAACTGAGAAGTAATCGTCTGAAGACCTGAAATCTGAAGTTTCAATGCACAGTGACTGTGCGAATCCTGCATAGCTACGTCTCTGCGGGAATGACCGAATCCCTCCCAGAGGAAACGTGCCCTTCTGAACACAGACAAGCTGCGGACACCGGCTGTCTGGGCGGATGTAGACAACCTGTCCCCTCAGCTTGTGCAAACACTGCTCTGATGATGACACAAGGACCCAGCACAAAGGTGAAGGCATCCAAACACTCCCACGCGGCATCTGGATCCGCGGTCTGTCTCCAGAAAAGCATTCTCCAAACATGGATATTTATTTTTCCATGTAACATACATGTCTGAGGATTTCATGGATTATGTACATTATAAGACAGCAAGATAAGGGAAAGAGACAAGTAAACAATATTTTAAAGAGCTAATGTTATTTATGAACGGATGGGAAAATCCGAGCGGTCACTAATAGTTAATATGGATCAGATCTGTCTCTGGAAGAAATGGGGTTAAGTACATGTCATCAGTTTTAAACAACTTTTGATAAAGCAATTTGAAGACTCCCAGTTCTGTTCATTGGGACACTTGGTTGAATGGCCTCAGATTTGGAAAAATGCCACACAAAGACGCCCACGCCCACACGGCAGACACCCCTGGCGGCGCTGCGTCCTCTCCATGGCGTTCCCTCTCAGTCCCGTTCACCGGTTAGGTACAGGTTTTTGTTTTAAGGTGCTAGTAAATCTATATATTTTCCCTGACATGCACCAATTGTTTCTACAAGCTCACCAGAAGGTGCGCCATAGTTATATACTAAACAGATGATTTGAAAAGCAACTGAAATTCCTTATTTGGAAGGTTGTAAACAAACTAGAAAACTTTATCGACTTTTTAAAGTGGAAAGGTACTCATTTATATGGGTCAAGCCTGTTGATAGAAGTGTTACTAACATACATGTTCAAAATGCTCTCACCCCATAGCAAGGCCGGCAAACGACAGCCTACCTACCCCCCGTGTCTGTACAGTGCCATTGGACCACGGCCACGCCCGTGCATTTATGGACGAGTCTGTGGCTGCTTTCCCGGGACAACGGCGGAGCTGAGTAGCCGCAGCAGAAAGTATATGGCCTGCGCCTGGCTAGTGTGGCTCGGTCGGTTGGGCACTGTCCCAGGTACCAGAAGGTTGCTGGTTTGATTCCTGACCAGGGCACATGCCCAGGTTACAGCCCCATCCCCAGTGGGGGGCGTGCAGGAGGCAGCTGGTCAATGCTTCTCTCTCGTGATTGATGTTTCTATCTCTCTCTCCCTCTCGCTTTCTCTCTGAAATCAATAAAAATATATTAAAGAAACACAAATATAGATAGGTATGTATGGGGGGAGAGAGAGAGGAAAAAACACACAAAAAAAGCAAGATGAATCTACAGTTTCTTTCTATAACCCAATAGACAGATCAGTGCTTCCCCCCAAGGGTGCACAGTCCGTAGTGCCTGGAACTAAACTTCTCAGACAGTACGTGAAGCCTTAGAACGCCCGGAGGGTGTCAGACTCCATAGCTAACCGCACGCCGGCTAAAATTAGCTCTGGTCACAGCGCACATGACGAGGCTATCTTAGTCCTCATCCAGCAGCCCTCCTGCAGGCGACCAGCGAGGTGACCGGTTACACTGTTACTGTCAACTCACTTTTCTCTCTTGTCCACACTCCATTTACACAGCAAAAGCTGAAAACTGCTGAGCTACACAAAGGACGGAAGGCGTCCAGGTATGGGGAGCACTGGTTTTGTTCATTATTCTGCCACTAAATGCGATAGGAAGACAGGAAAAGGCCCGGATTTGGCTAGAAAAGGTGGTTATTTGGTCTTGTGCTTGGAATCCTTTGTTAGGGAACCGTGAAAAGGAAAGAAACATGAAGAAAGACTTGGTGACCAATTAAAGATGAAAGAACCAAAAACTGCCAGGTTTTTCTTTTCCATACCTGCTTGGTTGCCAAGTTCTATGCCTTTTAAAATGTCTCCTACTCTGTCCCTTCTTTTCCAAGTCTGATGAAGTAAAATCCTTCTCTTTAACTGGGCGTATTTTTAAAATGGCTTTCTCAATGATGTCCTCTGTCCAATGCTCTTCTCTCATTTTCTACATCAAAACTATCTTCTAAAATAATAGGATCACATCGTTACTGCACAAAAACATTGGATATATCCCCATTTATTTATTTTATTTCAGAGAGGAAATGAGAGAGAGAGAGAGAGAGAGAAACATCGATGATGACAGATCGGCTGCCTCCTGCACACCCTGTACTGGGGATCGAGCCCGAAACCCAGGCATGTGCCCTGACTGGAATCGAACCTGGGACCCTTCCCAGTCCACAGGCCGGTGCTCTATCCATGGAGCCAACCGGCCGGGGCAGATATATCCCCCTTAGGTCATCTGGGTGAATTACCGGTTTTCACTGGAGTTAGAGCCAACCACATCGCTCCGGTTCATAAACCCTTCACAGGCCGGTCAGCAGCTCGGCTGGGTTTCCAATGTTTGCTGCTCGACCTGGGGGTGAGCAATCCAGCAGCTGAGACCTACTGACCGCTGTCCGTGGGGCTTGTCACCCTCGTTACCGGTTTTCACTAGAGTTAGAGCCAACCACATCGCTCCAGTTCATAAACCCTTCACAGGCCGGTCAGCAGCTTGGCTGGGGGTGAGCAGTCCAGCAGCCGAGACCTACTGACCGCTGTCCGTGGGGCTTGTCACCCTGTCCCTGCCTCAGACCATTCACTCCCGTTGGACACTCTGAGACTAACACGCTTTCAGACACGGCTACACGGTTCGGCACGTCATCGTTCCGCGCCCATTGTGTCACAGGAAATCAAAGACAGCGGTAACTTCCCGGAGGGGTGGGTTCCAGCCGAAAGCTGAGAGGTGGGCATCACGGGAAGGACAGGAAAGGGATTTACTAGACGTGGGGGAACCCCAAGGAGGGGACGTGTCAGGGCAAGCAGGAGGAAGCCCCCGGGGAGGGAATTCACCGGGGAACCGCACACATGCAGGCCACTGATCACGGGGAGCAAGGACACAGGCGTGGCAGGGCCGGTGCATTCGTGACAGACCTCCTCGGGGGCCAGGCGGGGCGTTTCAGTGTGGCTTCATAGATGCCGGTGAATAAAAAGGGAAGAGCTGATTAGGAGAAGACGATTCCAGCAGGCGTAGTCAGGCATGTGGGAGAGACACAGACGGGCAAGCAGAGATGTGGGGAAAGAAACCGTACGGTTTAAAGGGAGATTGCAGTTAAGGAGAAAGAAATCGTCAAAGAAGAGTCGCCTTGGAAACCAGGGAAATGGAGACATCCCTAAAAATCAGCCAGGGACCTGGGAAGTAAAGGGTTGAGAATGGGGAAGACGGCTGTGGACTGGGATTTAGGCACGACCAAGAGGAGCTACCGAAGGCCCGCTGTCCCTAATCCAGGCTGAAGCCGAGGACCGAGGGCCAGAAGAGACAGGTATGGCGATACCAACGCCTTCCATCGACTTAGGACCGGGAAGTCACCTATGATTGGTTTGGAGCCTCAAAGCCCAGGCTGGTGGGAGAGCAGGGCAAGCCCTTCACATCACAGATGGAGAATCGATGTTCAGAACGGATGTGACTCCCCGCAGTCCCACAGGCTGTGAGCAGACGAGCCAGGCACTTCCTAGCTCCCTCCTCTTGCCTTGAGACTCGCCAGGAGCTGGCAGGCAGAGCCCCCGCCCTTGCCCTTCTTCCGAGGGAGCCCTGAGGGTGTCAAACCTTTGAGGCGGGAGAAGGGACAACTCAAGCAGGATCCCCTGCAGATATGCACAATTAATCGAAATGGGGACGAGAGGGCACAGCAGGAGGCACCACCACGTTGACAGAAATACTCAAGAGCAAGCGTGTCAAACTCAAAGGCTAAGATGGGCCAAATAAACAAGGTTTCTGTGTATGTGGGCCCCCAAAACCAAAAGCTTCCATTTTCATAGAAACGCAGGTTTATTTTGATAGAGACATGCTGAATACAAAGGGCTGAAATAAATGAGTCACCGTTAACATAAAATAATAGAACTTTTTAATAGAAATTAACATTTTTTCTTGAACAGACACTGAATAACTGCACAAATTAATAAGCGTCACGCAAATAAACCTATTTTTCTTGTTCTCCGAAAGTGAAATATTTCCTGTTGCGCACACCAAACAAGTCAGTCCAAGACTAACGGCGTGGCCATCGGCTACTAAAATATTCGCTGCTTGTATTAGTGGGGAGAAATGGTGTGCCTGCACATAAGGCGTGTAAGGGAAATGAAGGCAACACGATTATAGTAATCAGTCATTAGCGAACGTTGTAGTTTGTTATTAATTATGTATAACAGGATATTGTAAAAGTTAAGTTACGAAATTTTTATTAGAACGTTTCTTATATACTGTTATATTGTCTGGGCCACAAAAATATTGGTTATGGGTCACATGGGGCCCGAAGGCTGTGAGTTTGACATGCTTGCTCAAGAGGGTAGAAAAAAAAAATCAAAACCGGAAAAGTGCAGAGTCAGGAAAGCCAAAAATGGAGTGAGTGCTTGGTGATGCCAAAGGCAGAAGAAGAAGATTTGGCACGGAGGTAACACATCTGATGGTTGACATTTTTTCAAACATTTAACTGGAGATATTGAGGGGAATAACTCCTTCAACATGTTTACCAGTAACAGTGTTCGTTGGTACATGAATAAAAGGGGTCGCATTTTATTTTCCATACATGAAGCTTCTACTTCACAGATTACATGAACAGAAATGAGTGTGAAATGTTTTTCGATGCTTAAAAATGGAAAAGTCTAAGAAAATAAAGCATTTACTGAATTAGTCTTATGGAAATATAATTTGATCTTTTAAAAAGCTCAAATGTATTGCACCATAATCTGATCAGTCACTTCACTTTTTATTTGGCAAAAAATTATTTTCAGCTTTTACCTTCTCCATAGTTGAGAGGCTTTGGATAAACATAAATAATAGTTCACTTTGTTGTGATCTGTTTTGCTAATTCAAAATTCCAGTAAAGGAAAAGACTAGGAGCTATAAATGAGTAAAACTACAGCTACAGGCAAAGAAAAAAAATACATAGGAATTAATTTACCAACTTCTGTGTTAAGGGGAAGTTTGCATGCAAAGGAAAATGGGCTATTTTATCCCGGTTCCGACATGGCTGATACCAAATCTTTTCAACGACAATCGACTTGCATTACTGACACTTTTAGAGCACAGCACGGCCTCTGCCCAAATCAAGTTTCGAAGGGTCCTTGGAAATTACATCCACCTTCAAGTTTTAAAAAATGGAATCTGACAACGAATTAAAAAACTCAGAGACGCACAGCGAATCCAACAACTGGCCACTGACCTTGCTCAACTCGGAAGAGGGTCTTTTCCAGCCTCTCCATGTCGTTCAGGAGTAAAATTCGGATCTGCTTACTGTGCCCCATGCTGGCTGCTGGAGGGCTGGAGGCCTTTCTGCAGAACGAGGACTCCGGAATCCAGTGAGCGGCCCCTGAGACACACACACACACACACACACCAGTCAGGATAACGAGAACAACCTGCTCTTAAGTCCTCCAGGGCTGTCAGGCACACTTACATGTTCTGAGTATGGTTCACCCTCGCAGAGCAAAGAGCGAGTCTTATGAATAAGACCAGAGAAGGCAAACTGACAGCTACTTAGACACTTGAAACACAATATGAGCGAAGCGAAAATATTGTCCTATATTCTTACAATTAAAAAACAACAACACCCCCCCCCCCCCCCCCAAAAAAAACAACACACCAAACAAACAAAAATCCCCAAAGCACTGCCTTTGGAATCAGGCAGGTGGGTGGGGTGAAGTCCCAGCCCAGGCCAAGCGGCTGGAAGGCTCCAATGGCACCTCTGCCCAAGGGGTTAGTCCTTCCAAGGGAACAGGTGGGAGGTCGCCCGGTTCCCAAATTGGGGTCGGCAGCCACCAATGGGGAGAGGGGCCGCGGGGGCAGCTGTCGCCCCCGGAATAGCTGCGGTGCACATCGGACGTGCAGCGGCGCTATAGATAGAAAGAAGGCTCGGCCCCCGGAGGCCCGCGGCATTCCTCGCACTTACACCAGCAAGTTCTACGTGCGGCTCCGGGGACACGCCGGGCCCGCGCCCGGCAGCGGCGGC